AAAAAAAAAAAAAAAAAAATTTAAAGCAAATAGTCTGTCGTAGCTACATACTTGACACAGTAAATAGAAATGAAAGTGAGAAAAATTAGACGATTTAATTTCTACTTCACTTAGAAGAAATAAAAAGCTCTTTATATCCTTAAAAGCTAAATAACATGAAACATGATAAACACCAGTACACAGACATCAATGCTTAACAACAACTGTATACAACTGTAGGGAGGCAGGATGGCACAGATGTCTGAGTGGCTTAGAGTACTGGCCCTGTGACTATGTGCAAGTTAATTAAACTCGTTGAGTCTCAGATTCCCATTGGGGAAATGGGACCAGTAATAATACCCAACTCTCGGAGATGCCGTTAGCATGAAATAGGAAGTGATAACTAAAGCAGTGACCACAATAGGCTGCCCAGAGTAAGAGTTCAAGAAATGTCAACCGTTGTTATAACTTGCTGAATACAAGTTTGTTACCATTACAGTGAAAATCAAGAGTGAAACTGCAAGATCCTTTCTCAAGTCCTTCCTCAGCCACTCAGAAGACTGTACAGTCTGTGGACCATCCAGGTCTTTCTATCTCCTCTTTCCCCCCTCTTCTGACTACTTTCTGCCACTTCCCAATGCATTCGCCTCCCCTAGGGAACAGGAAGGGGAGAGAAGAAACGACAGGAAACAGTAGTCACAGTTTCTACCTACTACCATCTCTGAGAAACTCCAGTGCACAAAACAATTTAAACTCTTTGCCAAAACTGGGGAAGGGGGATGAAAAGACATGAGTTTTCTTTCCTTCACACTATTCTCAGGCTCCACTGAAACATAACCATAGAGTACAAAATCTCTGGATGGCTGCACTCCTCTAAAAATGCTCTAAAATACTAAACTTTGGCTCAGAGGACAGAGGACAGCTCAGTGTGACAACTCTAATGCCAGGAACTGTTCAGTCTCTCCCCTAGCTTTGCTGTATTCACACACGGATCAGGAATACACACTCCAACTCCTATTCTAGAGACAACTTCAGAAAGAGAAATTAAGGAAATGACTGCAGCCACAGTGGCCACTTTCCGCAAGTTACCGCTGATTAAAGTGAGGAGGGAAAGCAGGAAGTTTTGTGGGCACCCAACCTTTTACATGTGAAGTGTTGTCCAGACAACTCCTGAGAGCAAATCTGTGTTCATGAGAATGTTGCACACCTGGACTTTAAAGCATCTTCTCAAAGAGTGATTTGTATCCATATTGCCATTTTCAAGGATGTGGGCATAGCACTAAACATTTCTTAGCTACTGCTGGTCACATAGCACCACGTTTTCCAGGGTGTAAAGGGCTTTATAAAATCTCCCAATCCTAAGTTCTTGCCTGTCTCTTGCTATTTAAGATTCTGGGATCATTGCACTGTTCAGTGCCTGGGGAAAGCAGGCTGCTCGGCATTTGACACCTTTGTCAAAATAAAGCAGTACAGATATGTCCCCAAGGCAGTAAATCAAGGTGGATGTGAAATGCTTTGTAAAACCGGCCATTTTCCACTCTGGGTTCTAAGTTTCCTCCAGTGTTTCCGGAACCTGTGTTGGATGCATTACCCAGGAAAACCCCCTTTGTATGTTTCATTTTAACTTGTCCCATCATGAAATTCAATCATAAACTCCTTGCAGGCAGGAACCATGTCATCTTTGTTTTTTATCCAATGGTGACTACAAAAATGCTGGACACAAAGGCTGTAGTGCATCTGAGGCACACATGACAAATTTTAAGAAACAGCACAGTACCACGAAATATCTGTGCTCCATTTTGTGGAAGAAAATAATTTTTAAAAGGAAAAAATTTAAATCTACATGAAGATGGTCATTGCCAGTCTACAAGCCAAAACTTGTAAATAATCTAAACATTTATACCTAGTTAATGAACATTTACATTTTGGTTATGCTACTGATTACACACCTTGAGCAATCTACTTAACTTTCTGTGCCTCAGCTTCTGCCTCTGGAAAACAGGAACCTGCCGAGTACATCCTTGCAAAGAATACGTGAGGTAAAACATGCAGAGTAGCAGGAACAATAATGAGAACAGAATAATGTTCAATTAAATGTTATCTATTATTTTTCAGCTGTTCTAAATAACTATAATGACTTATAAGATTAAAATGTGCACTGTTACATTTTAAAAGAATATAAAATTATACACTGACTTTTAGTACAATAATATAAAAATATATGCCACAATTCAACAAACCATGTGTTTCAAGTATCTATTGTTTTTGGACCCCATCTTAGCAGTAGGAAAATATAAGCGTTGAATAAGTAATTGGGCCTGACTGACTGGGAGGAAGAGAGACAAACATAAAAAATCTCAATTCAAGGGGGTGAAGCATGCTAGAGGAGCAGAGTTTGAACATTTAGCACAACTGAGGTTCAGGAAGGGCCTCCTAGTTGAGATTATGTCAGATCCGAATTAAAGCATGAGACAGATAAAGAAGGGTACAAACCCCAATATGGCATCCATAATCAATTAGAAAATAGAATGGAAAAAGTAACTGTGCAGGAAAAAAATAGAGAAAATATTTAAGACTAATCCTAACAAAAAATATACAGACTCTACGAGGGTAATAAAAGAAACTTTTCCTGAAGGACCAAAAGACCTAAATAAATACCTAGAAAAACAAACCATTTTTCTACCTGTAAAATATCATAAAACTGTAAATCCTCCTCCAAATTAATCTATCAATACTATGTAATCCCAATCAAAATTCCAATGGGGCTTGACAAGCTGATTTTAAAGTTTACCTGGAAAAGATGTGCAAAAAAAATAGGCATGAGAATTAAAACAAAATAACAAAGGGTCTCTGTTCTACCAGACAATAAATAAAATAGATTACCAAGGTACAGTAATTTTAAAATGTATTACTGATATGGGAATGGCCAATATGCCAATTTGAAAACAGGAAAATTAACATATGATAACTAGGTTTTGCAAATCACAGTGAGAAGGACTGAGGTTACTGGGACATTTAGAAAACATGTTATAACCTTATATTATACCTTATAGGAAAATAAATCCCAAAGAGATTCAGATTTAAATGCAAAAAGACAAAACTATAAAATAGATGAGATAGGTAAGTACTTATATATTCTTAGTTTGTAGAATCCTTTTCTAGGCAAGGAAGAAAGGTCATAAGATATACATGACAAGTCTGACTACAAAATAATTTTACATTTCTTCATATAAGCACACACCATAAATTTGAAGTCCAAAACTGGAGGCTCACAAGGCCAGGGCTAGCCTGCCTTTGTTGGGTCTACAAGGTTTTTGTTGTTGTTGATTTGATTGTTTTTTAAATGGAGTAAAAATTTAAAAATCAGAATATCTGGATGTCTGGCAACACCTTTCCTCACTTCCACTTGGCAATAACCAGCTGTAGCTGAGAAGTGGGGCAGTAGCTCTCTGGTCCATCCTAACTCCCACCCTCCACTCATTGATTTTACTGGCCCAAACACTTCAGGCATTTCGTTTTTGAACTTTACGATAAAATAAAGGCAAAGAAAAACATGTGCAACATTACCTAAGAGACATTAATATCTACGTACATACAACTTCCAAAATAAATATGAAAAAGATAAGCCATTTTTTTAAAAATTAGCAAAGGCCACTTACAAAAGTATACAAAGGGTTAATAATCATACAAAAAGAACAATCTCTCAATCAGAAACATTCACATCGCTGTTTTCGCCCCTTGGACTGGTAAATATAAATGATAAAATCTTGTCTTGGCAAGAGTATATGGAACTGGCAGGTTCAAACACTGTTGATAGGAGACAAAATTAGAACAATTTGTAGATGGGCAATTTGGCAGGAGCTACCAAAATTTTAAATGCACAGACACTTTGCCCCACTTATCCAGGTATTCCAGGAATTTGCCATATAGAACTAACTCTAATATGCCTAGTAAGATATGCAAACATATACCAAGATGTTCAATATAGCAGTGTTTAAAACGGCAAATGGAAGCAATCGAAATGCTCATGAATAAGGGAAGGACTAATTACATTATGGTATAGCCATGGCCTGAATGAACTATTACAAAGCCATTAACAAGAATGAAGTGAATTTATATTTGTTGATACAGAAAAAACTTTCAGATGCAGTATACTGTTAAGTAGAAACATTAAGTTCCATAATAATCAACATAACCTAATAAATCTGAGTAAAAATACATGTAAGTTGCATACGCACCCCCACATATACATGCATTCATACATTTTTCCCTGTTAAACACTATCAACATACTTACATTTATATGACTATACATTTATAGTTTATAAATATATGTACTTATGTCTACAGACATATTTTTTACTCTATAGTTTTTCATATAATTTGCATTTCATCTAATTATGCATTCCTGTATTCATCTAATTAGGTATTCCTGAATACCTTTTCTTTTTTCAAAGAAGACAGAAAGAGTATTCCTAGGGGGAAAAAAAAGACTACCAAAAATTTGTGAAGAATTTATAAGGCATTGTGTTTGAGTTGTGGAGCTAGGGGTGGCATGTTGAGCACCATCTGATACAGCTGGAGACACATGGGTAGAAGTGACTTTCAACTTGCTGGGCCTTCCACTCCTAATCTGAGCACAACTCATAACCACTGAATGTTCTTGAGTCGCTTCAGTTTAAAAAGAACACTTCTAATATGAAATTTTAATATGGCATCATCTCAAAAGTGTAAACAAAACACTAAAAAGAGACTGTACATGGTTACTGCCTCTAGAAGGAGGGAGTAGAAGTGATAGTCTTTCTGCTTCTTTATTCTTTTCCATTTTTCCAGGTTTCTAGAATAATTATGTATTATTTTTAATCATCATAAAAAAAGCAGGCTTTCCAAAATGAATTTTATATTATAAGAGAAATAAGGCCAGTATTTCCCACTGACCTGGGATGGATCCTCAAGCCAAGTAAATACGTGTAACGGCCTCCCCATTCCTGTTAAGAATTTCTTTGACAGGAAGTGAGTCCCTCAACTCCCTGTTCTACACTTCAGGACAGGAAGTATGGTGGGACTGGAGATGGATATAGGTGGACCAAAAGAAAGGGTATTTCTTGTCCTTTATTGGGTTACATTGATTCTTCTTCCCACTTCTAAATGGCTCTGGGCCATCCTGGGCCCTACCATCTTTACTTCCTACCACTTCTTCCTGTGTCTGCTCTTTGCTCTGTTTTCCTATTCTCTCCCCAACTCCTTTATCTACTCCTCTAATCACCCCCCTTTCTCTTCCTTTCTTCAAGTCACCCACGTTCATGTTGAGAGGAATTTGCAAGATGGAAAAGAAGGCTGGGGTGGGTGGAAATATTCTAATAGTGTAGGTGACCACTTCCAGGCTCAAGCTGTGGGTCAATAACGATGACTGCCTAGGGAGGAAGTGAGATGCAAAAAAAATAAGAAAGGCAATCCTACTAATATATAGCTAATATTAATACACTTCTATTGATTATCTCCTGGCCATAGATTGGCGCCCAAGTGTGGAAGGCTTCAAAGTCATTAACAAAAACAACAAAAAATCCCCCAAAGTTAGTGTTACAGGTTACTCTGTCCAGTGTGTCATTATCAGATCCTAGAAAATAAAAATGGTAAAAATAAAAGCAAAATTAATGGCAGTTTTCTTTTTAAGTATCTCTCTAGGAAACCACATGTTTAGAGGCAAAGAAAGCAGGTTGCCTAAAGACACAATACCTGCAAGGAAACTACTCAGCTAGTTGACCTCACCGGGGTCTCGTCTTCCTCGAAAGTTCTTAGTTCACTGGGAACTTTGCCAGAGTCAAGGCCAGCAATACTCCTGGAGATGTCATTCCCACCTCAGTACAACCTCCTGTGACTGCTCCGTAAACATCCGGGGAATGAATTAATGAACGAGTGAATGAATGAATGAATGAATGAATGACAAAGAAGCAGCGCTCTGCTAGGTGCTTACCTCTTCTGGTTCATGGAGGCCACCTGGAGCCACTCGTTGGTGCTGGGATTGTAGGAATGCGCAGCGGAGATCTCCTGGCTAGTGATCCTGTACCCGCCCACTATGAAGAGGTAGTTGTCCAGGATGGCAGACCCGTAACCTCTGACATTGACCAGGTCGGGAGGAAGATTGTTTGCCAGTGGGAACCAACGTTCAGTCATCTCCTCATACCTGAGCATGGACGGGGGCTCCCCCTGGTAGGGGTGAGGGGCCAAGGGTCCCCCCAAGAAATCCCCCAGGGCCACCAGGACAGGAGTCCCAGTCATCCGAGCCTCTCTCAGCCTCTGCTTCAGGGTGACATCCCCTGGAGCTTGAGCAGGAGACCCCAGAAGGTGGAACTGGGGCTTGCACAGCACCTCGTGGAAGTGGACGACCATGAAGCGCAGGCAGGCCTCCTGCAGGTCGGGCAGCCCATACACCTGCGCCAGGCGGTACAGCTCCAGGCAGTTAGTGAGCCGCACCTGGGACAGCAGCAACTGCAGCAGGGACGTGACCTGCAGGAAGGAGGCCGCTTCCACCAGCTCGGACAGCAGGCTCACCTCGTCCATCTCCTCCTCCTCCGCCGCGCCCCCGCCTTTCTCTCCGCGCGGGCCCAGGAGCCAGCCTTCGCGGGCCCCGCCGGCATTGATGAAGTCGAGCACCAGGCGCAGGCCCGGGGCGCTGAGGCCGCGCAGCTGCTGCACTTCGGGGCCGCCGGCCTCCTGGCTCAGGGCCTCGCGCATGCCGGAGCGGTAGAGGGCGCGGAAGTAGTCGCTCTGCTCGATGAGCTTCCTCTTGCTCACCGGGTAGCAGCGGTCCTCCAGGCGGATCTGCACCATCTCCTCCGCCGACATGGCTGGGGGCCCGGGGGCCGCGGGGG